TACCTCTGTGGCAACCCTCTTCCGAGAATGATAAACTTTTTGGATTAGTAAAAGGTTTTTAGGACATGATACTATAATGGCTCAATTTCAGTGCATCCCAGAGTTCCATAATAGAACAATTTAAAATAACTATTTTTTAAATCTTTCAGGATCTGGAAGATTTGATTAAAGCAAAAGAAAAAGAAGTAGAGAAAATTGAGCAGAATGGACTTGCTTTGATTCAGAACAAGAAAGAAGACGTCTCTGGCGTTGTCGTGAACACACTGCGGGAACTCAGCCAAACCTGGGCAAATTTAGACCACACGGTAATATCGCTTGTGCAGAGCCAGCTCCGAGACCTTGTTTGCCAGCTCGTGGCCCAACTCTGGGTTTTGGTTTTCCTAGAGTAACTGAGTAAATAACTATCAAGTCTATACATCATCTCTTTGTACTGTTAAGTTTAATTCATCAACCTCTTTTTTAAAAACAGTCTAGTTGCTGATGTTTCCTATAATAAGCCTTTATCATAAACATTACTCTGTTAATAATCTCATCCAGTCCCATGGCTATAGGTAATTCTTAAATGTCTATCTTCTGCCTGGAGAAAGATAGCCAAAGTAGATATCCTTCTAAGTGATAAAGACCAAGCTAAAAACTTTTCTGATAGAGATATATATGAGGAAAGAATGTTCTTAGATGTGTTTTTCTTAAGATATTCATTTGCGTATGTGCGTGTGGGTGCATGTACAAGCACATGGGGAAGAGTTATAGATACAGATATGGATACAGACAGATTTTACTTCCTGGACCAGACTACCTGGATTCACATGGAGATCCCTCACATTCTAACAGTATGATCTTGGGTAATTTTTATTACCTTTTAGTGCCTGAGTTTCCTCATGTATAAGATGGTGATAATGACTTTACCTACCTCACAAGGTTGTTATGAGGGTTAAATGAGTTAATGCATTTCCTAAACTGTTTTATTAGATATGTTGACCTTTTATCACATTAAAATACAGATATATTTACAAATTAATCATGTTTTAAGCATTTCCATTTAGACCAAATGTTCAGAAGTGTGAAAGACATAAATTTCAAAGTGGCTACATTTTACTTTTTTATTTATTTATTT